CACTATTGAAAACATGGCACCATTGACAACATGGCACTATTGACAACATGGCACTATTGACAACATGGCACTATTGACAACATGGCACCATTGACAGCATGGCACTATAAACAACATGGCACTATTGACAACATGGCACTATTGACAACATGGCACTATTGAAAACATGGCACCATTGACAACATGGCACTATTGACAACATGGCACTATTGACAACATGGCACTATTGACAACATGGCACCATTGACAACATGGCACTATAAACAACATGACACTATCGACAACATGGCACTATTGACAACATGGCACTATTGACAACATGGCACCATTGACAACATGGCACTATTGACAACATGGCACTATTGACAACATGGCACTATTGACAACATGGCACTATTGACAACATGGCACCATTGAAAACATGACATTATAAACAACATGACACTATAAAAAACATGGCACTATTGACAACATGGCATCATTGACAACATGACACTATAAACAACATGGCACTATTGACAACATGTTTCAGTAGCCATTGTGCTGATGGCACCATTAACCACATAATCCAGTAGCCATTGTGCTGATGGCACCATTAACCACATAATCCAGAAGCCATTGTGCTGATGGCACCATTAACCACATAATCCAGAAGCCATTGTGCTGATGGCACCATTAACCACATAATCCAGTAGCCATTGTGCTGATGGCACCATTAACCACATAATCCAGAAGCCATTGTGCTGATGGCACCATTAACCACATAATCCAGTAGCCATTGTGCTGATCAGTAGCCATTGAAGATTTCCCAAACGGATGATACTAGTGGCAACCTGACATAATGTCCACCAATTATGTTTTGTTTGCAGTGTTGTTCAGAACGTCTACTCACTCTCTTCAGAACCAGTTTCCTTAAGTATATAGTTAATTTCTATTTTACTGCTCTATGTACCGGAACCCAAAGAACTTTCACTCTGTCTGCATTACCAAACAGCAGACTGTGAGACTCACGACACCTCTGTCCAACACCGTCAAGAGGTAAATACAAGCTGTAAGGACAGTCTGTCACCCAGAGGAGCAGCAGCAGCAGTCCATCGGACAGCCTGCACAATTAACGGCATGTGCCTCTGTCATGGACTGAAAATAGGAAATGTGATCGTGACTTGAGTTGCTTAAAGTAATGTAAACCACACTACACATAGTCAATCGTGAGACACTGAGACAGGCAACATGTGCACATACTAATGCATTTTTTATACTAGACTGAGTATGTGCACGCACTCAAAAGTGTTTGTAATGAGACTGGAAAATGCACCCCCCCCCCCCCCCAAGTTACTAATAGCCGGAAATCTGGATTTTCTGATTTTTCATATAATTCCCAGAAATCAGGATTTTCTAATGTTCTATATTTTCTTCTTCTGTCTTTCTAGCCCCAATGGAGCCTAGGCCCTCAAACAGCTTACGCCAGGTCGTTCTATCTGTTGCTATTGTATACAGCTCTCCCCATGTCCTCCCCATCTTTGTAACTCCATTTTCCAGCTCCCGTCTCTATGTTTTTTATTTTTATTTTGCATTCCTTTATTCCTATGCCCCTGTAGGTTCCATTGCAAAAACATTCTAATTATATTGTTCGCCGGTTTTCTCAAAGTGTCCTATCCAACGCCAGCGTTTTTTTCATAACCTCTTGGTCCACTGGAGCTTGCTTAGTTCTCTCTCAAAGTTCTACATTAGTTTTATATAATTCCCGGGAATTAGGATTTTCTGATGTTCCGTATAATTGCCGAAAATATGTACTTCCTGGTGTTCCATGTAAGTCCCAGAACGTGCTCTGGATACAATAATATACCGATTTTCCTAACTACCTATATACAGGCTAGGGATTAGACAGACAGATATCTTACAAAATGATTACCAGTTGATGGAGTCTTGATGTATTTGTACTCAAATCACCCACTCAGTAAATAAGCGACACAGATTTTAGAAAATCTAGCAATGCCCACTTCTCTGAATAGCCAGACAAGATCGGTAGATATTTTAATCATCAGAGATACTTACATTATTATATAATCTTTCCAATCAGAACTAAACATTTTTTTCTAAGTCCATTCACCACAGAAATGTTTAATCCTAATCCTCTAGTGTATCATCGGGAAAAGCAATCTTCTAAAAGCCCATTTTAGAATGCAGTTTTTCTTGGAATTCATATTCAGCTAACTTCCACGTGGGCCTGTTGGATTTCCGAGTGTTGAATTAGAAATCGACATCATAGCACTCAGGACACTCTCATAAGCGCTCCGTCCCCATCTTCAGTAGCAAGCAGAGTTCTAATTCCGATGGTACCAGTAACTGTCTGATACACTTCAGTAATTTTCGCCCCCCCCCCCCCCCAAAGGGAGTATGAGATGGGAAGCAAATGAAGTAAACCATTTACACTTGGTAAAAACAAGTGCACTTTGCCTCAGATATGTAGCAGGAATTGTCATATAAAGACGGGACAGTGGTTATGGTATTGACTAATGGCACTGTTATGTCACTGTGCGGGGTGGATCAGTAGGGTAGTGGTGGAGACGCTGTGCTGGGTGGATCGGTGGGGTGGTGGGGGAGACACTGTGCTGGGTGGATCGATGGGGTGGTCGATGAGACACTGTGAATGGTGGATCGCTGGGCTGGTCGTGGAGACGCTGTGCTGGGTGAATCAGTGGGGTGATCGTGAAGACACTGTGGTGGGTGGTCGGTGGGGTGGTCGTGGAGACGCTGTGTTGGGTGGATCGGTGGGGTGGTCGTGAAGACACTGTGGTGGGTGGATCAGTTGGGTGGTCATGAAGACACTGTGCTGGGTGGATCAGTGGGGTGATCGTGGAGACACTGTGCGGGGTGGATCGGTGCGGTGGTCGTGGAGACACTGTGGTGGGTGGATCTGTGGGGTGGTCGAGAAGACACTGTGAATAGTGGATCGGTAGGCTGGTCGTGAAGACACTGTGGTGGGTGGATCAGTGGGGTGGTCGTGGAGACACTGTGGTTGGTGGATCAGTGGGTTGGTCGTGGAGACATTGTGCTGGATGGATCAGTGGGGTGGTCTTGAAAACATTGTGGTGGGTGGATCGGTGGGGTGGTCGTGAAGACACTGTGGTGGGTGGATCAGTGTGGTGATCGTGGAGACACTGTGCGGGGTGGATCGGTGCGGTGGTCGTGGAGACATTGTGAAAAGTGGATGGTTAGGGTTGTCGTGGAGACATTGTGAATAGTGGATCAGTAGGCTGGTCGTGAAGACACTGTGGTGGGTGGATCGGTGGAGTGGTCGTGGAGACACTGTGAATGGTGGATCAGTGGGCTGGTCGTGGAGACACTGTGCTAGGTGGATCAGTGGGGTGGTCGTGGAGATACTGTGCTGCATGGATCGGTAGGGTGGTCGTGGATACATTGTGGTGGGTGGATGAGTGGGGTGGTCGTGGAGACACTGTGGTGGGTGGATCAGTGGGGTGGTCGTGAAGACACTGTGGTGGGTTGATCAATGGGATGGTCGTGGAGATACTGTGGTGGGTTGATCAATGGGATGGTCGTGGAGATACTGTGGTGGGTGGATCAGTGGGTTGATCTTACTGGGTATTCGACTTTCGTACTGGTTGGTGAAGGTTGATTTTACTGGGTATTCGACTCTTATGCTGGTTGGTGATGGTTGATCTTACTGGGTATTAGACTCTTGTACTGTTCGGTGAAGGCTGATCTTACTGGAAATTCGACTCTTGTACTGTTTGGTGAAGGTTGATCTTACTGGGTATTCGACTCTTGTACTGATTGGTGAAGGTTGATTTTACTGGGTATTCGACTTCTGTGCCTGATATGTTGACATGACAAGGACCGCTCTGTATAATCTGAAGGGGTGACTGAAATAGGAGAGGGGAAAAGGGAATGAAGAGGGGGGGGGGGGTGTGGTCGAACTCATGTACTTTAACCTTTGCTTGTCTTAGTAGGAATCTGTCTTGTCACAAGAGCTCTCTGGTTGGCCATTTTTGTTTTTAAATTTGTATAGACTGTGTGTAGTATAGTATGATGACTTGAGATGTCCTTGACCTGGAGGATATGATCTCATTGGGTGATATAGTGAATGTGAACTGAATGACTTTACTTTACACCACCATAATTTAATCGTGGACAGTTGGCCGATTAGTGAACATGATTATGTGAAAGATGCGATTTTGTTTTATAAACGAATTATAACACACTGGATAGATGAAACAAGAAAAGTAATGAAGATGCACTGAAAAAAAACAGGCTCAAGTTGAAAACTGATTTTCCACTTTAATAGAGGACATTCTTTGGTCATGCAGCAAGAAAAGATAATTGACATCGTGGCATAGGAAATCATCTGTGCCAGATTTGATTGAAAGTACGCGAGACAGAAGGCTGTGGACATACATGACTACAAGTGCCACACGGCATGATAGACTGTTTGTGGATGGACATAAATACGACACAAGACCTAACCTAAACTTTACCTTTACCACAGTTGGATTATAAGAAGAAGAAGACACGATTTACAAGAATGATGCAAATAAACAGATAAACTATATATTTGAAAAACTTCTAAAATCCCCACTAGTGTATCGGGCCCTCAGGGAAAGGAAATAGAGCAGAGGACCTTTTCCCACTCTTTTAGGCTTATTGGGTATATAGGGCTAGACCTACATTTTATAGACCAGTCTGTCCTCTGTGGTCGATGTGGGCAGCATCACACCAGCCGCATTTACTTTCCAAGACCTTACCTACTATCCCTTTAAGGCTGGGTCGACCTTGGAGCCAATGTCATTTTTTTAAAAAGCTCCGGGGCTCCTTCAGGACCTGAATCCACGACCTTCCGGTCCGCAGGCGAGCATATAGCCGCTACACCACGACGACTCCTCGATGGGGTATAAAAAAAGAAAATGGCGGGGGGGGGGGGGGGGGGGGGGGTGTGTTAACAAAATGACATAAAAATAAATGTTGCTTGTTTTTGTTTTCAGGTCATGGCAGCAATTGCTGTTAGAGCTGTTTCTGTGCACCGTGCTGCTTTCGTGTAGTGTTCTCGCTATGAACATCATTCCAGACTACGATGACGAAAGCCTGCCGTACGTTGTCCAACGCCAGCCACCATCGGAAAGAGACTGCATGATATGTGTTACAACTTTCGATCTTGAGTCTTGTTTCAGGCAAGTGCAGCTTCTTGCAGTGCTGCTATTGTTGTTGTTGTTGTTGTCTTGGACGTTGTTGTTCTCACAGTTACTATACTATATTTTCTTCTTTTTTTTCTTCTTCTTCTTCTTCTTCTTCTTCTTCTTCTTCTTCTTCTTCTTCTTCTTCTTCTTCTTCTTCTTCTTCTTCTTCTTCTTCTTCTTCTTCTTCTTCTTCTTCTTCTTCTTCTTCTTCTTCTTCTTCTTCTTCTTCTTCTTCTTCTTCTTCTTCTTCCTCTTCTTCTTCTTCTTCTTCTTCTTCCTCTTTTTCTTTTTCTTCTTCTTTTCTTCTTCTTTTTATCCTTCTTCTTCTTCTTCTTCTTCTTCTTCTTCTTCTTCTTCTTCTTCTTCTTCTTCTTCTTCTTCTTCTTCTTCTTCTTCTTCTTCTTCTTCTTTTTCTTCTTCTTCTTCTTCTTCTTCTTCTTCTTCTTCTTCTTCTTCTTCTTCTTCTTCTTCTTCTTCTTCTTCTTCTTCTTCTTCTTCTTCTTCTTCTTCTTCTTCTTCTTCTTCTTCTTCTTCTTCTTCTTCTTCTTCTTCTTCTTCCTTGCGGTCACTGGCTGTGAACACTTGTGGAAGGTTCTCACTGTCGCAGCTGAAAAACTGGTGAACAAACAATATTGGTTTAGTGCACATGTTTATCAACATAGTTACTGTAGGCTCCATGTAGTGCAGACATTTTTTACAAGAATAACTCTAGGGCGACAACAACAAAAATTGTATGAAATGTACTAATTCAATGAAAATAAGGGCGGTCGGTGCAATATTGGTTCATGCCTATCAAACCGTCAACAAAATTATTTCACAAATATATTTCCCTCCCCCCCCCCCCAACCATCCGCTGGCTGTCATCTCAGTGGGCTATGTGGTCAACATTACAACGGTCGCCTTTACTTTCCAGGACTTTACCTAGTACCCATTCAAGGCTGACTCGACCTAAAAGTTAAGGTCATGTTTGAAACAATCGGTCTCGATGCGGATTTGAACCCACACATTAGGATCCACAGGCGACAGTTTAGCCGCTACAACACGGCGGCTCTCCATTAATACAGTTATAGTGGGGTACACTACCGTTGATAGAAAGCCTGCTGTCCTTTGCAGTAGGGTAGCCTGTAATGCTAATCATGATATAAAAATATAAACATTAATGTCAGTAAAAAAAGTAAAGTACTCTTTTCCACGCCTTTAGGCGTATAGTTCATATAGGGTTAAACCTATATTTTTATAAACCAATCATCACAGGATGCGTGATGTGGTCAGCATCACACAGGCCACCTTTACTTCCCAGGACTGCACCCGATACCCACTCAACCTGGAAGTCATAGTCATTTTTGAAAAAAGTCCGCCTCCGCCAGGGAGCGAACCCACGACCTTCCCATCCGCACACGAGCGTCTAGCCGCTACGCCACGGCGGATCCCTAAATTACAGTATGTGTAAAATTTGTGGGGCGCCGTGACATTGCTGCTAGACGCTCGCCTTGCAGATCCGGAGGTGGTGGGTTCAATTCCGAACGGTGCTAGACTTTTCAGAAATGACCTTGGTCCTCCAGCCTTAAATGGGTGCCAGGTAAAGTCTTGGAAAGTAAAGACGGCCGAGGTGCTGCTGACCACATCGCTCACAGACTGCCGACTGGTCTATCAAATATAGGTCTAGCCCTATATGTCCAACACGCTTGGAGACGTAGGCAAGGATCTGTAGACATATTTTCACCAAACGACCGGGGTATCTAAAACCTGATTTCTTCCAACCTTCGACACATAAATGTCGGCATCCGGGTATCGGTAATTCCTCGTCTCGATTTTTTCCTGCCATTTCTCTGTGCCTAGTATCAATTCCTCTTTCAACGCAGGCAAGTAGTACGGTTGGAAATCAGACCGAAGGGCATGATTTTTTTTCCAATGATCTCCCTTCTGCCGTCAACGCCATGGTGACAACAAAGTGCTGGGCGGGAAAGAACTGATGGCATTTCATCATCCGCTGTCTAAATGCTCATTAGAATGCACAAGCGTGTCTCCTGGAAATTGACCCTTGGCTCCATCCTGGGGCTAGATTAGGGCAATGTATTTAAAGCTCTACTACTTGGTCTGACGCTTTCCGTAGAACTAATTACGTCCCTAAACAATGATAGATTGACTACGGAGAAGTACCAGTGTAACCTAATTTTGCGGCTTTCATTCCGAACAAAACTTACTAATGAGAAAATATAGCTTTTGGTCCCAATGATAACATGGGCGTTTAGTGTCACGAGTATTTTATTGTAATCATCACCAGATTCTACAAATATGACATAATATAATAAATAAAGCATTGCAATATGGGGAGTGATTAAATAGAGAACAAAGTATTTAGTTTCTCTTTTGTCATTGATGGATATATAAAAGCAAAACGTTATTGATAACCTTACCATCATTGGACTGTGCGTTTATATATATATATATATATATATATATATATATATATATATATATATATATATATATATATATATATATATATATATATATATACTTAGAGTGCTAAATTATAAACGTTTTATATGTTTGAGCAGGATTTCTGAAACTGATTCCTGTTTTATTATTATTTCTTTATACCCTCTTAATGTTGCTGTTGACTGATACCTTATTTAGAAGTGATCTCAACTGCTGCCCGTCAACTGCTTCTTTGCCTACGGTATACGATGTCATTTTACATTCTCTCATTTCTCGCTCTACTGTCTTCCAGATTTCCATAGGTCGGTACGTCTCGTTTTTCTGTCTAACGTCCATCGGAGAGTGGACTGATATATCTGGCTCTTTAAATCTTACAGTACTAAACAGAACAAGTGAAGAAGATCTCAGCTCAAACGCACGTACTCCGTCGAGTAAGCTTGAATCATGGACCGACATTTTTACATGCAACTGGTCGCAAAGGTCGTCAATGTTGTTGCTAAGGCCACCATGGCGTCGATCGGCAGCACACACATCGAACACACACTAAAACCGTATCGCATATTCACCACACAGGCCTCGAACAAATTAGCATGGCTTGTTACTCAAAAGTTCACACACATATACATTCTTAGTGACTCCATGATTATGCTTCAAAATATCCAAGCTGGAGGTTTTTTTTTTTTTTTTTGAAGCCCCACCCTAGCTTTTGCCGGGGGCCCTGGATATAGCCGGGGGGGGGGGAGAGGGCATAAATATTGCCTAGCCATAAATATGACCTATCGGCTGAAAGGGGGTTTCTGGGACCTCTCCACGGGTGTTTCTCATCCGCATTTGTGTCACCTTGTGTTTATCGCTTGTGGGGTACAACTTACCTACCAGCCTACACTGAGCCAGATCTATAAAACTGGCGTGTAAGCAAAACTCAAGTTCTTAAACAAGGTCAAAGTCGGAAGTGGACTAAAAACCCAAATTTTCCGCCGGAGTTGACCGCCACCGGACGTCTTTTTTTTCCGTTTAACCTTATTCAACCTAAATGATAAAGTTATAATTAGGGTGTTCTTCTCGATTCCTTAAATGTTAGTTTTGTTTATCTTCCGTTCTGCAACGAATGTGATGCCTGCTATCTGGTATCAAGGGGTTGTCGTTAGGAAGTCTTTTTTTTTTTTTTTTTGAAATTTACTCAACGGCCCTCAAATTTTGGTTTTCACTTGTGTTTGTTTTTTAGCTAAACATTTTGCCTTGATATATTATATTTGGGACAGTTTTGGAGTTCAAGATCTGTTGACTCATATGACAAATCACCAGTGCATATGGCTGATTCGCCAATCTTAAGTTTTGTGTATAGATGACGGCGAAGTCGACTGTGCCCTGTTCTGAGGCGTAGTATAATGAGTTGCTCCAGAGTGCATTCTGAAATGAATCGGATACGGTTTAATTTTTGTTTTAAGTATCCAGAAACCATGGAAACCCTTTGGATCGGTACTAAGGATATCGCAACCCTTCGGAGTTGATTCTATGATAGGTACCGTAAATCTGGGGAAAATGTGGCTTTTCTGTCTATCCCCGGGCGTGAACCCGGACCACAAGGAGTTCGTCACCCGGTTGCTGCGCAGTCAGGTTGAGCCAACTGTGCCAGCGAGTCGGGCCAATATGATTTTATGAAACAGCTACTGAAATAGGAAACAAATTGACTGAGAAAGCAGGGTCGTCGGAGTGATATCTAAGGCCAACGGTAAAGTGATAGGCCAGATGTATACTCGATGCATAAATAATTTCGGAGGATTGAAAAGAAAGGAGGAAGCGACTTTGTGATAAATGTGTGTGTGTGGTGGGAGGGGGTATAAATGTGGCTCAGGTGTACGGGAAAAGAATGAGGATGGTCGGGTCGAAAAGATCTGGGAACCATTTGTCTAAACATTTCATGGAATAATCCTGTATAAAAATAACACAGTCCATGACTGATCTCTTCTTTTGTCACAGATGTAGAAATGGCCAGAGGTCCAGCGCTACCTTCTACAAACCCAAACGAGAGTACTCCATGAGCAGGTCACACCCAGCGGCTAGCAACATGTGTGGTTGTTGCGCCATCACTCGACTATCCAACAATTACTGCTGTGCTGTTTGCAACGCTTCAAAACGCGGGGGATAATTGCCTACATTCGTTTCTGTTTCTTTTTGGAAACGTAACGTCAGTCAATAAACTCACATAAAAATTACATGCACACGCTATCGTTGTGTTCAGTTCTTTTAAACTATTTGTTTCATTTCCAGTTCTCCTCGTGTGGGTTCTGGAGCCCCATTGTAGGGGAAAAGAAGAATAGACCCACTGCCTGCCTACATGCATGTCGTAAGAGTCGACCAATTGGGAGATTTCTTCAAAGTCAGAGTACATTTGCCTGAGGGACAGGGAACCAGTTCTGCATGCAAATGAGTCAGACCTGTGAAACGGATGTACACACAACACTCAGGTTCTGGAACAGGACTGGAGTCCAGAAGTGGGTGAACAGCCAGAACTTCCCTCCAAAATTGAAGCCGGGGAATGCGAAGAAGTAGATTTCCATTTTTTTTTTTATTTCGCTCCATCTCTGGGGTCCGAGATTGCGTAGGGAATTCTCTGGAAAGTCCGATATTATGGAGGTAGGGGTAAAGACAGGGGGAAAGGGGGGGGGGGGGTGGTAGGGTTAGTGTAAGTCGGTGTTCATTCAACACCCTACACTATTAAACTTTCCCGGGATTTCCCTATGAAATCTCAGAGCCACCGAGATGAGGTGAAACAAAAGAAAAAAAGCGGACAAAAACAGGGCCTCAGTCCCATGTAAACTTCGGACTTCCGGCGACTATGCCGCAACCGCTAAGAGTATCTCCCGCGCCGCAAAGAGCTAAACTAGATTTCTGGGACTCACGAGCAAAGCTGCAGGAGATGCGGAAGCTGCTGGCCCTGTCAGGGTGTGTTTTTGGCCGCAATAATATGTGGCCGTTATTCAGAGGATAGCCTAAGCTTCTTTCCCAAATGGAAAGGAGACATACAGTTTAAACTCAAAGAGTAAATGAAAACAGAATCTTGCAATGTATTCCGCGCTGTGAAGATTTTCTGTTATTGACCGCAACAACGCCATACATTCTAGCAGTAGAATGATGAATTAGGAATCGACATCATAGCACTCGGGACACTTCCATAACCACTCAGTCCCCATCTTCAGCAGCAAGCGAAGAGTTGTAATTCCGATGGTACCACTAACCGTCTGATTGTATATCCGCCTCGCCTTTCCCTTGAGTGCTGAGCGTCGGCTAAAAAAAAATGAGAGTGTACGTTAGTGACTCCTCTCAGCGCTATTCTCCTCAGAACGTAACGATCTTTCTATTCTGGCAGTAAATAAAAAGTATTTTTCTAAAGGCTGCAATCGATTCGATACGATCTTTCTATTCTGGCAGTAAATAAAAAGTATTTTTCTAAATGCTGCAATCGATTCGATACGATCTTTCTATTCTGGTAGTAAATAAAAAGTATTTTTCTAAAGGCTGCAATTGAATCGATATCAGAAAGTAACAACAGAACACAAACTGGTAAACTCAACGGATGGAAACAAAGAGACTCGTACGAATACAACGGAACTTCTCTATATGTACCTATTTGGCGGCATTTTTTCCCCCCAGCATTTTTCTTAAATGTGATCGTTTTTTTTATTTTTTTTATTTATAGAGATTTTGACTTTCTTTCTTGATAATGACTTTGGTTGAATTGTCCCATTGCATCTGTGAGCGTCTTTTCTTTTCCCTCCAATGAACTTTCTGGTCACAATCTGAGTCGTAAAATGGATCGATTAATCTGTTTGTCCCCTCCCAGCTGCTACCAAAATGTTGGTTTACCATACCATCCTGTTTTTTTAATAAGCTCAATCTAGACGGAAGACCAGTAAGACAAATCCAAGATGCCCTGTTCATCATTGAAAGAAGTGACAGTTAGTGCACCCGTAACGGCTACACCAACCTGGTGTAACCGGAAGACCTGTGCGGCTAAGGACATGTGTTAAGTTGATTCTTTAATCTCAAAATCTGCCGATCCGAAGATCATGGGTTCGAATCCGAAAATGCCAATTTTTTTTTTTTAAACATCACCCTGGCTTCTAGGTCAATCCTGCCTTAAATCAGTACCAGGTTAAATCGTGGGAAGTAAAGGCGACCGGCATGATGTTGACCACATCACTCATCGAAGTCTTAAAAAATTGAGAGTGTAGCCTTATATGCCCAATGTGCCAAGGGACCTTTACTTTTATTTTATTTCTACAGAGTAGATTGTGTCCCATTCTAATGTGTGTTTGTGTGTATTTGTGGCCAGCTCGCTAGCGCAAGTGGCTAAACCGGGTGACGAACTCCTTGTGGTCCGGGTTCACGCCCAGGGGTAGGCAGAACAGCCACATTCCTCCCAGATTTACGGTATCTATCATGGAATCAAGGTCGAAGGGTTGCGATATCTATAAAGGGTTAACTTCTCATGGTTTTTGGATACTTAAAAAAGTGTGTGTGTGTGCGTGCGTGCGCGTGCGCGCGCGCGCGCGTGTGTGTGTGTGTGTGTGTGTGTGTGTGTGTGTGTGTGTTATCTTTTACAGTAACATCACAGGGTGTGTGAACTATGGCGAGATTACCTTTCACCAGTAACATCACAGGGTGTGTGAACTAAGGCGAGATTACCTTTTACCGGTAATACCACAAGCTGAGAACTATGGTTGACGTTTTGGTAGTTTCTCTGTTGCTGTTATGATAAGGTGGATTTCTACATTTTATTTGTGACCGTACTTTCCCCTTAAAGTAATAAATGGTTACCATTCAACTTGAAGCTGGTGGTGAAAAGTTTGAAAACTTATCAATGTGGATTTGTAAAATTCACCTTGCCTCCCAGGTCGACCAAGCTCACAAACGGGTACCAGGAAATCTCATAGGTTTCTAGAATGAAGTGCTACATAATATATCCATCAGCAGGTATTTTCCAGAACGTCGCTCCCTTCACGGTAGGCCTGAAAGTCTCTCTGGCCAATTCTCCAGCTCTATGTGCTTTCATAGCCAATGCACTTTCACAAGACATATCCACCTCTGCAAAGGTCACATCTGCCTTGTTTTCCAAAAATGCACCATTCATTACCTTTCTTTTTAGGTCCCCGTGACATTTCAAGTTGCCAAAATACCTAAGATTTCGGGACAGGTGCTGTTTATAAGCCAGTTCGCCTCAGTGTTCAGATCATATGAAACACTACAAGGCAAATTACAGACAAAATTTGTCGACTGTCAGCTTTAATGCATCATCTGTCAGTTACCATAGAAACTGTTACAGGCATGTAATTATTAGTTACTTCTTTAAACATTAAAGAGAGTCCTTTTATCAACTACATTCACCATTCCTTCACTGCTATTATGTTGAATTAAGGTGTGATTATAAACGCGGTTAGTTTTGTTCTTTTAAAATGTAATTTTCAGACTAACCATTTTTACAAAAGAAATGCATTATGTGAAATTATTTCTAAATATTTTTAGAACAGTCAAATTTCGTGGGGGGGGGGGGGGGGGGGAGGAGCCGGAGAGAAGAGACATGTTAGAACAGAAGTAAATTTACTAACCTGCCAAGAATGTGGTTCAATACGCTAGAGGCTCACCTCAGATCTGAAGTTCGTAGGTTCAAATCCAAAATAACGCTGGCTCCCAGGTCAATACAGCCTTCAATGGGTACTAGGCAAAATTACTGGGAAGTAAAGGTGGCTGGCGTGGTGATGATCGAACCACCCACCTGGTCTATAACACATAGATCTAGCCCCATACGCCTGCAGGTGTTAAAAAAAGGAGTCAATTACTTTTACTTTACTTATTGTTTGACTTCTGCCTCGAGTGCTGGAGGTCCCGAGTTCAAGCCACGGTGAAGGCTGGGATTTTTTCACGTTGACTTCTAGTAATTTCTCCTGGTGTCTTGGTAGTGAGATTGGACACCCGTGTGTATTGTTGCGCACGTAAAATACTTTGGCAGCTGGAAATCGAAAAAAGAGCGATGCCCTGGACAAATTTGGAGTTAAAAATTTACCCAAAGTATTTCAGGATCCTCACCGGTGCTTCGAAGTTCGTGCACTGCGCTGAGATTCTTTGGACTCAGGCTTGAGTCAGAAGTAGAACTAAGCACGTATGGGTTACTGCCCTTGTGCCATGATGTTGATCCGTCGTCTAAACCAAATGTTACTAAACCTGACATCAACCCAGCCTTATCAAATCAGTACTAGAAACATTTCTAGGAATGTTCTCTGAAGAAAACACATTGATGAAAAGGATTGGTTACTTAAAATAATTATAGCGTGGCTTGAAGTATGAGAAGGCCTAACATTTCAGGCCAAAACGGCAACATTTGCAATGAGATTAACCAATTCTAAGAACAATATGTTCAAGTTTAAACAGTGAAAGAATTCTCCCCCTCTCATACTACATTCTTCTCTTCCTGGTTATATCTTCAGAAGTCAGTCTGGATGTTTGTTTTGTTCTTCAAGAAAACAGCAGTTAATGTGAGCTTCTTGACATATACATAGTGTGTCCTTAAAAGATGCCACAATTAGACATAATATTGACAATGTTGATAAAGGAAATTGTATATCTGATCCTCATTCTGCATGAAGAATAGGATCACAGTAATAATGTAATAAGATGCTGCACAAGTTATATTTATTTTTCTTCCATGTGGGCTCGGGGGTTCCTCTGAAGGCTGGGGAGGGGGGGGGGGGCAAGAATAGACCAACTGGCTCCCCAATAAGCAGGTCGTAGGAGTCTACTAACTGGGGGCATCTTTCGAAGTCGCAGTACATCTGCCTGCTATGCATAGAAACAAGAGTCTGCAAGCAAATAAGTGAGATCTGATGCAGGCGCATTCATATGATTCCAGAAATAAGTATCAAGTCCGTAGGTGGAGAACACCCAGAACGTTCCATCAGAGTTTACAGCCAGTGAATGAGAAGAAAAAGAAGAAGATGTTCCTTTTTATTTTTTGCAAACCTTCAGGCATTAATCTGAATACATTTAACTCGGTTAGCACCAAGTCTTCTCCCTTCCTTCAAGGAATTTCAACAATTGCATAGCATGTTCTCATACCTGTTTCTTTTAGCCAGAGCATGCCAACAAAAATCTGATGAATTTGATGATGCATTTAATCTCTTTGAAAATAATGCACAATTGATTTTTATAATGGTTATTCTGCCTCTTAGACATCTGCTGTGATAGCTTCTTTTACTGCAAAAGGTATAGAAAGTTTGGAAGAGTTAAACTTGTCTTGAGAACTGAAATGTCAAGCACCATGATGAATTGGAAAGAACAGAAGCGCAGGATATGGGGCCACTAAGAGGGGCATAGGCCAGCCAGCAAGAGGAGATCACAGAATATAACAGACACCTTGGGCAGGAGAGAGAACAAGGTAGGAGAGCTGATAAGAGACCAAGTTTCTTTCAGGAATACCATGACAGGAGCGACATTCTGTGAAAACTTGCTACATGATGATTATGATTTATATGAGGGATGGTCAGAAAAGTAATGCCTTCTTTATTTTAACTATGTCGGGTAATATTGGATGAACTGATAGTCTGGACACTGCCATTACTAATGAACAATACTGAGTAAGTTCATCCAGTGTTACCATACGATCAGCATAAATGCTGTCATCAACTAGATTAATGTTGTGTGGAACAACTGCCTGTAGACAGACGGCCAGTCCACTTTGCATCAGGCACTGAAGACTGACTTAATTCAGTTTCATCATAACAATGTACCAAGAGTTAGACAGTGCTAACATTCACTGTTGAATCTCTATAAACATAATTCAAATATTTGTGGATGCAAATTGGTGTCTAACCTTCAGCATTCAGGAATTCTATGACATTATGTTGTTTTAACAGAACGTATTTGGAAGCCACTTTTAAACAATTACAATGATGTCACCTGTTACTAAATTAGAGTGGTAGTTCTATACAGGGCAGAAGAGTGTCTAAATAATCCTGATAAATTTACACATGGATTCAGTCATTACACAGATCAAAAAATAGGAGGCATTATTTTCTGACCATTCTTCATACATATCTTATTATTTCAAATACATTTTTCCAGTCATCACTTACTTTTTTTTTTTAATCAACGGATCAACATTACGGCACATGGATGAGTCCCATAAGTGCCTGAGTCTGAAGAATCTCAGCGCAGTGCACGAACTTGTTGCACCGACAAGGATCCTGAAATACTTTTGGGTAGATTTTTAACTCCACATTTTAGCCAGTCCTCTAACACATATTTATTATTATTTGTGAATAATTTTCTTAGTTTTTAGTTACATATCCTGTTCAGATCATATAGGTTAACGATAGTACTGCACCTACCCATTTTGATTATCTTGATCTTTGATTTCTTTTCAGACAACATACATAATATATCAGTTACTGTCCTCAGATTAACAACAATAAGCGAGACCACTTTAATCAACTTTTGACCTGAAAACTATTTGTTTTATTTATAAGTAAAAATAAATTACGCTTATGTAAAGTTTAGTTTAGTCGACGGATCAACATCATGGCACACAGGTGTAACCCACAAGTTCTCCGCTATACTTATAACTCAAGCCTGAGTTAGTGGTATATGTGCACAGTGCTTGAACTCCATTGCACCGACGAGGATCCTGAAATACTTTTGGGTAGATTTTTAACTCCAAATTTTGCCTGGGCAGCACCAATAATCTACTCTTTTCGATTTCAAACGGCCAAGGAATTTTTTGCGTCTGCAATAATACACATGGGCAGCCGATTTTACTACCCAGAGACCAAGCAAAATTTCTAGAAGTCTTTCACCGGGGTATGAACCCAGGACCTCCAGCACTCGAGGCAGATGATATACCTCGAGACCACGCAAAACACCCCCCCCCCCCACCCCACCCCGAAGATTGTGAATTCTGTGAAACAGAGCTAACACAAAATTAAAGACTCAACGGTAACAAAATACAGTAAAATCTTATTAACATTAACTCACTTACGAAGAATACTCAGTTAACACGAACAAAATTTTGTCCCATCAAGGATATATGACTTATTAGTCCAGGGTTTACACCATTTTTTTTAAAAACAAACTCGATTATCAGTCCCTTGGAATTCATATTTTACTGTTAAAAGAGAAACTTATTCTTTTACTTTTTAAGTCCCCATTGGTTTGGCATCAGTGGCCTAAGGGGTAGCAAACAGAGATGAAAAATCGGCACATCTTGCATTTACTGGTCTTCTAGGTAGGAACCTATGAACATATGATGCATTTCTTGGGACTTAAAGAGTTAACAAGAACCATCCCAGATGATGAAAACAGGAGCACAATTTTGAAAACAAAAGTAATTTAAACATTTTTTTTTATTGATTTCAAACTACACATTTCCAGAAAAATATAACATCTTGAAATGTAATAACAATTCAAAACAATAGACAGTATTCGAAGTTCTCATCATTACTATGATAAATGTCAATTGTACAAGTCTGGTTCAAGTTCTTGTTGCCATGAACAATTTGTAAGATCTCTGAAGTTCAGAAGGTCACCAACCTTTTTAGGAGCTCCAACAATGGCCAGATATTTGTTGAGATGAATGCCAAACCTTTGTCTGAGAGAAGTACAACAACAATCAATTAATGGCCTGGGATGTGTTAGGAGACTTTTGATTTTGTCTATAACTTCAATACTGTCTGTTGGAAATCTCTGTTCTTGAATCCATTCAAAGTCATCATCAAGACCATAACCAGCACGTAGGATCATCAGAGCAATATTGCAGAATCCTTCCTCTAAACAAACCTGTAAGCCCGAGCCAAAGTGGCATGCAAGAGCTACAGGTTTACCCAAGCTAAGAAAAAGCTGAACAATGCTTTCATGGCCTTTCAGTAAAGCAAACCACAAAGGTGTGATGTCATTAAAGGACTGTCTGCAGTTTTCAATAAAGTTGTGCTCTGTCATATCCACCTTGAGGTTCAACAGAGTGTATGTCATGTTTAAGTCACCTAAATATGCTGCCATGTGCAATGCAGTCAAATACACATCACAGTTGGAGCAAACACTTGTTACTGAGGCTCGCCAGAACGTCCCAAAGGATGGACATTCACAGAGTGCATTTGCCTTTAACAATATTTGGCAAATCGTTTTTCTCTGTTGCATTACAGCACAAAGTAATGGAGTCACTGTGTGTCCACAACCTGAAAAGAGCCAAAAATATTCACTCGTTTAAATTTTTGTTTTCCAAAATATAAAATCTATTTTTTTTTTAAATCATGAGGAATCAGCTAAGTAAATTACATAACTGTTTCATTCCTTGTAAGAGTGTTTTCTGTACATTAAGCTTTTGAAGAAACTGTGAAAAATGTTTTACTTTAATTAAATTGAAAATGTTTTAATTACATAAACGGAAAATATTTTAATTTATTTTTAATTTACAAAATAATAATAGAATGCAAAAAAATAAAATAAAAATCATCTCTTTATATTCTGACTCATGTTTAAATAGTTCAGTGTTGTAGACACTAACAATGAATAACCAAACTATTTGAAAAATACAAAAAATGCTTTAATTACAAACATAAAAACACATTTATACATGAACTTTAAGGCTACTGAGACTGGGTGATCATTTGCTTAATTTATTCTCATTGTTTTTGTCTTTTCTCTGTGATTTAAAAAAACAACTAACTAAATTTGCAGCCTCTCATCAAGTATATTTATGCTGCATCTGATTTCACGTATAGGACAGAAAGGCAAAATATCAGCCAAGTTCAAATCATCAAGATGCTCTTTCAGAGTTCACTGAATTCTATTTATGGTGTTGTTTGTTGTCTTTATAATTTAGTCACACTAATTATACAGATATAATGAAGTTCAAATTTGTAGACTTATATTGAAATTCTTTCTCTTATTCTGAATTGTCTTCATGTGGGTTCCAGGGCCTCATTATGGTGAAAACAAGAATAGACCCACTGCCTGCTCAAAAAGCATGTTATAAGAGTTGAATAATTGGCAGTTTTCTTCAACGTCACAGAGTGCATCTTCCTGAGCAGCAGGGAACAATCAACTGCACATAAATAAGACATTAAAACGGATGTACACACAAAGCTAAGGCCTGGACAAAGCCAAAGTCAAAATGGACGAACAGCCAGGACTTTCTCCCGGAGCTTAAAGCCAGCGAACAAAAAAGAAGAAGAAGAAGAAGATTCTGCATTTGCTCTTAAAAAGCAGCTCACACACTGGTACAGCCAGGCTGGCAATAACTGTGTCCAACAAATCTGATGTCAGGAAGCCTTAAATAATCACCTTTTACCAAGTTGATCATCAACCACCCCCTCCCCCCCCCCCCCCCACACACAAACACACACACCATATTAGGGCCCGGAACACACACACGGGGAAAATGATTAATAAAAACCAACCTTTGGAAAATATGAAATGAGTAGATGTTGAGATACTCAAAGCATTGTTTTTCATGTACATGGGGTCACTGCAGAGCGATCCAGAAAATTTGGATGCTGCACCATCGTTAACATCAGCACCATTGTCTACCAACAGCTGGACCACTTCATGGAGGTTCCTGTCCACAGCTGTGACAAGGGCCGAGCTCCCGTCAGCATCAAGTGTTGCATTAACATTAATACCGTGACTTACTAGAATTGTCATAATTTCTATGGATTCTGCAACAACAAAACAACATGCCATAACTTACAGGGTTTCTCAAAAACATAAAAATTAAATGTTCTAATTTGCATTGACTCTACAGTCACAATAACATAAGATGCTATAAGTTGCATATATTCCCAAATGACAACAAAATAGCTTCGTATTCCAAAGGAGCTCTGACCCATAACCAATTCAGCCAAGTCTCTTGTAAGTTTGTCAGGTCGGATTTTTCAACTTAAGTTTTCTACAGGAGGAGGTAGGTAGTCCCAGGGCTATTTTGTCTGGTGGTACCCAACGGTAAGCAATACCAGAATCCTTTTTTTTTTCAATATTTTTCCTTTTTGCTGTAATATACATTTTATGGTCAGTACGGGTTCATTTTTAGACACTTTATGGTGAGTACCAGCACCTTTTTAGACACTGTGTTGAGTTCCAGTACCTTTTAGACACTGTGGTGAGTTCCAGTACCTTTTTAGACACTGTGGTGAGTTCCAGTACCTTTTAGACACTTTGTGGTGAGTTCCAGTACATTTTAGACACTCTGTGGTGAGTTCCAGTACCTTTTTAGACACTGTGGTGAGTTCCAGTACCTTTTAGACACTTTGTGGTGAGTACTAGTACTTTTTTAGACACTCTGTGGTGAGTACCAGTACCTTTTTAGACACTCTGTGGTGTACCTATACCTTTTTAGACACTTTGTGGCGAGTACCAGCAACATTTTAGACACTTTATGGTGAGTACTAGCATATTTATAGACACCTTGTGGTGAGTACCAGCAACTTTTTAGATATTTTGTGGCAAGTACCAGCAACTTTTTTCTAGGAAAAAGCCTAGCTCATACCCAGGTGAAAATTACTCCTACTACTACTACATCTGTAGAAGACAGTGCAGGTGCAGGTTCATTCAAACATAAAAGACAATAATAACAACTTAATCTTGAAAAGTAAAATAATAATAATGCAAATCACTTTAAATATACCCATATACAAATAACACAATCTGAACTAGCAATACTTTGAAAAGTACACTTATAATCTATTTCACTTAACATGGACTCTTTTACAATTAATACTTATAATCTATACAACATTAAATAGCAAATCCAACATCTGTAATACAAACAAATCTATAAACAGAAGGATTGAACAAGATGTCACAGACCACTACTATTACTGCTGCTACCACTACAAACTTTTTTACTTACTTCTAACAACATGCATGATATGTTACCATTTTACCTATTGTTCTTTGCTACCTTTACAGATCTCAGTGAGGTTAATGTGAAGTGTAACTTACTTGAAGTGAAGATTTCAGGAAAGGCATGGTAGAGAACACTCTGTCCTAGTCTGTCTCTTCCTTCTAAGTTTGAACCACTCTTTAGTACAGCTGTCACATAATCCACATTTTGTTCTATCACGGCTTTCATCAAAACTGAATAGCCTGGATCTGGAGTTTGGCGGGACAGCATGATGGCTCATCTAGCTGTAAATGTAATAGAAATTTGCACACACACAAAACTGTATGTCATCTAACATCATAGTCAGTTGCATATCCTTTACAGGAGGCTGTAGAACCAACCCCAGCATTTTGTTGGCTGTTGTGTCTTTTCTAGGCAAATTTTACATTCAGTAGTTTGCCCCTGTTTTCTTAATGGTCAGCTCTCGGTACCACTTCGAAACCAATGCAAGACATTCGCCCACAGTTGTGATCAAACCTGGCACCCCGAAACATGTTCATATCGCCTAAGCCACAGATGCCGAACATAAAACATGTATCACACAGGAAAACGTCAGCTTAACTCTTTTAGTGCCCAACAACTTACCAAATGTTTCTTAACCATAACAAAGATAATACGTGTATAATGTTGAAGCTGTCTTCTATCACAGGCAGATTCTGTATGAACCTCCTGTATCTGAATTAGTAAATCATCAGTTATCATGAAAAACCTATGGCATACCACCGGGAAACCAGTTAAAGCAAAAATGTTGAGATAATGCATCTTTCCAGTGACAACATATGGAGGTGAGTCAGGGAGTCTCACTCAATTTGCCGATGACAGAATAAATTTAGGTTTGAAGAATACTTCTGGAATTGAGTATTTTAAAATAAGTTTTAAAATTTCTGGTGATTAACTTTATTTCTGTATTCACCAAGCTCATGCTTGTTAGTTCCATGATGAACAATCAAATCCCTAATAATTTGCCTGCTACCCTTTTTTAAAGACTTAGTCTACCCAAAAGCTGTATTGCTTAGAACAATCTTTATTCTTTGCTAGCAATTGATTGAAACACTGTGAACCAAGGCTGCTGTCTGATGTCACTCTGCAAATCAAACAAGCATGTTTTTTAAGTCAGGGTTTGTTGTTTAATGTTTCTAAGTATGCAATGGTGATCCTGACTATCAGCCATAAATATATAGAAAGGATACAGAATGAGGCTAAGCACAACATACTTGGGTATGCAAGAAACACAGCATACAGGGCAATGTGCTACGTTCTTGATATTCAAACCATAGAGTACAAAATGGATTCAAATGTGCTGAGCATGTCCCTACCTTCAAGTCAACGCAGTCAAATGTCATCCACTGCATATTTAAATTAAGAAGAACAAAAGGCAGCAGGTTAAAATGAGGAAAATCACCGATGGGTCAGGCTGAGGGCATTATTCAGCAGGTGTATTCACTTGAGGACATAGAACCTGGTGAGGAATGGGGACAGGTACCAACGGAGTGCAGTAGGACTTTTTCTGTTTGCATCTAACTAGACAGAAAATACAGAAAAGTAAGTCCAGCTATTGCAGAGGCTGAGGTGCAGGCTTTGATTTTTGAGAATTCACTAGAGGGGCATACAGTCTTTTACATACACAGCTGGGTCTGTGGTTCGCCACATGAGAAGCTCATGGGCTTTTTAAGAGTTAGAATTGTGAAGAAAGATTCTGACGCTGTTGCTTTGACTACAAGTAGTCTGATTATGGAGGTCATGACAGTGACTAAAGCAGTAACATGGCTGGAGACACAGACTTTCAACCATGCATGCTTCCTCAGTGACTCCATTAGTATGCTCAGGATAGAGAAGATAGAGAAAAGCTGGGTACGAATTTAGTGGTTGGAGTCTCTAAGGTGACTGGACAGACAAAAATGTTTCATATACATGCAAGGAAAGGAGCAGGCTGATAGGCTTGCAGGTAAATCTACTGTTTAGGGCAGACATGTCATGGACTAGCCTGTCTGCGAGAAGTAAGACATTTATGAGAATCAAGTGATGACTGTGAATCTGCAACCATTACCAGACTGTAAGAACTTTATGTTATGAGGGGTGTGGCCAGACAATATGCTGGATGTCAAAGATTTGTTTTTTTAGAACGACAGATAACTAGTGTCTGAACCGCTACACACTGCGGGATCTAGGATTTTCTACGGAGGGGATTCCAGCAATTATGGACTTAATGGTTTGCAGTGCAATGAAGATAATCTGTCGACTAACTATTTAAAATTAACTAACTAACTAAATCAAAGAGGCATACTAATTACAACGGTCGACCATTCACAGTCGGCTCTGTGGCTAAGTCGATGCGAACGCTTCGCTTCGTAATGCCGGGATGCGAGGTTCAATCCCAGCTGTGGACAATGCGCCTTGCGTTGGTTTCGACAGTGGTATCAAGAAAGCCGACCGTCCATAAGCAATGGCAAACTACTGGATGTAAATTGCCTAGAGAAACCAAACAACAGCCAGGGGCTTTTAGGGTTGGTTCTGCAACGTCCTGTAAAGGATACGCAACTAACTTCTTTTAACAGACCATTACCATTCATAAAGTCATAAAGATAGAGAGACCTAGGTTAAAGTTTAGCATGTGGTATTTTGAGTATTCACACTGTGGTGGGGTGGAGGTTGCGTTAACCTCTTCCCCGCCATATCATATACATGCTTAGGCTATTTTTTTTTTTAAACGCACACAGACACAGCAGTTAACAACGATCTACCACCGCATTTTCCCTGCGTTTCAATAGTCGAAAATCGCCATTGTGTATACTGTTGTTAGGCAAGAAGGGGAGCAACTCGCATAAATCAAACCACTACAGCAGGGCTATTCAACTAAGTTTACTCGCGGGCCAAAATGTTGAAAATTGGGAAAGTCGCGGGCCTGTGGCCCAAACTAAGTGTGGGAAGATTACCAACACTATAGTCGAGGAAACTGTAGATGTGTAAATTTAATACACTCTAAGACGGTTACACCTAGGCGCCCTAGGGCCTAGCCTACGGTAATATAAATGAAACAGTTTTGTAAACCATTATAATGTAAAATGTACTACAATCTTTTGTAATGATAAAAAATACCCACTTTAAATTGAAATACACGTATTTCTAACTTGTTGTTTGAATAATAAATGAACGTTTGCATCAGTCACTTCAGTTGCATTGTCACAATAAAAATAGTAATATTTTTTTTTCTGTAAAAAAAATAACTTAATCTTATCAGAAATAACTTCTCCAGTTGTGAAATTTTCTAATGCTATTAAAGCTAGAAGTTCTTCATGAAAACATTTTCCGTCGAAAAAAAGCACATATAAACATAACTGAGCCACGTCTATGATGTCTGTAGATTCGTCAATGGCAATTGAAAAAAAATTCTGCCTGCTTTATGTTTTCAATTAAAGATTCAAAAACTTCAGTTCCTAACATTTCGATTCTGCGTATCGTCGAAGTATCCGACATAGGGATTTGCTGAACTGCATGTGACACGCTTGTTTTTATTTTATCATCAACTGCTATTTCGTCCAGAATTGCTAGTATGCATTCTTTCACGGTTTCTGAGTCAGTGAAAGGTCTCTTCTTTTTGGCTAATATCCACGAAACATGCAAAGAAGCCGCTGTGGCTTTTTCTTGTTGAGTACAAGCTCGCACAAACATTTTGCTGCTATGCTGATAAGTAGCAATCAATGACTCAACCTTTGATTTCCTAGCAGTGAAACCTTCTAGATATGATTTTCCAAAATCAGCGTGTTTCGTTGTAAAGTGCCGCTTTACGTTGTACTCCTTTACTGCCGACCACGCCCATCTGTATCTTTCTTATTTACATCTCAAGATGGCCGTGCTACCGACACACATTCGTTGCATAGCAAGCACATTGGTTTCGAATTAGGCATTGTTGGTGATATCAATAAATATTTCCGTGTCCAGTCATTGTTGAACATACGATTTTCACACACCCATTTAGCTTTCTTACTAGTACCAGCCATGGCATCAAGTATGTCACTTAAGTATTAAAATTTAGATAACTTAAAACACTGTTACTGTTTCAGTTTGTTATTACACAATCGCGTTCGGCAGTCTGCGTCTGTCTGTGACTTGCACACTTGACGATTACGAAATATCTGACTATAATCTTAACAACAAATTCACTGCGATGTCCAGTGTCACTAATGATCTGCAGCACGCATTGTCATTAATATTTGTTTACGAGTGTTCAACTTTAAGGGATAGTTCCTCGGTAATCTAACATCTTTTCAGCGATGATACAAAAGAAGACGTTTTTGTTCACCAGACGGCCATAGTTAAAAACAACCCAAGAGATGGTGAAAAAGTTGAATTTGATGTCGTAGAAGGAGAGAAGGTATACTCATTTCTTCTGGATACTAAAACAAAGCAACAAACCTGTTTAAATATATCAACATACATATAGGCAGATCCATCCATCCATCTACCATTGCATCTATCTACGAACGTAAACATCGCCCCGCCCATTCATCTACCCACACCATTTATCCCACCATCCACTCAATGCTATTTTTCACTGCTTCCTTCCATTCTGGCTGTTACCAGCTTTGCACTTGGGCTCGACTAATACTTTGTATAAAAATCACCCTTACTGTCTCTATTTGATAACTGACAGTAGGAGAGAAGCACTGTGTTACTAGACTCATGTTTTTACCTCATCTTATATTTGGTCGATCCATCCGTCCATCTACCATTCCATTCATCCACTAATACAGTCATCCATCATTCCATCCATTCATCTACCCACTCATCCATTCATCTACCATTCCATTCATCCACTAATACAGTCATCCATCATTCCATTCATTCAGCTACCTACCCATCTATCCAGGACACACTCACCCATTCACTCCACCATCCACACATGCTGTTTTCCCATCTATCCCTTCATCGCTCCCTTACATTCTGGTTGTTACCAGTCTTACTCTCGGGCTCGACTGATTACTTTTGTATAACAAGCATCCTTACTGTCTCTATTTGATAGCTGACAGTAAGAGAGAAGCATCTTATCACGAGACCCCTATTTTTACCCGATTCTATATATTAGCAATTCCATTCATCCACCAATATAGCCATCCTTTACCCATCCACTCATCTACCCGCCTATCTATATCACCACCTACTCACCTCACCATCCACCCTTGCTATTTTTCCATGGCTCCCTTAAATTCGGTTTTTTAACCAGTTCTGCTCTC